GGGGAGGAATATTACACGAGGGGGTTGGGGGCGTGGACGCGCGGGCGAAACAGAGTGATGATGCGTGAACGGTATATTTCGCGGAATCACGCACGCCCGTGCAACTCTCTACCATTAACGAAAATTGACCGATAAGAGAACCGAGGATACATCGTGCATCGACGCATCGCGCAACTACCATCGCAATGCCAGATTGACACGATTACCTTTACGCGGGCGAGAATTTCGATACCGAGAAAAGCTCTGTCCGTTGCACGTTTGTTGGTTCGGTACCGCGAACGACGAGTAAAAAAAAGAAAAAATTTAGGATACGGAAATATTGATGAAACGAGATAAAAAAAATAAGGAATCTTGTGTGTGTATGTTCAGAAATAAAATATATTTATAAAAACAAAATTAAACGCGTATAAAATAATACAAGTCGTTAATATTATATTCTTCTTCGTTTTCACAAATTCTCTCTTTCTCTCTCTCTCTCTCTCTCTGTATTTTATTTTCCTAACATTTCTGTCTAGCTATATCTTGTCTTACGTCTTAGACATTGGTTGTTATCGCAAAATAGGAGAAAGAAAAGCGTGTAGAAAATAAAAGAAAAAAAAAGGAGGAACAGAAATCGCGTTTCGTCACACGTTCGAGGCGCGTTGTACACCTACTACTACCTATGCCTCGATATTTTCGCTTTCACGTCGTACTTTTTGCTCGCAATCCTTTTCGAACGGCCATGCATCGTCGCACGATTATTCCCATTCTCGGTTTTTCCTCTCTCTTTCCCGCTCTATTCATCGCACGTTACTGTAATATTTCTATACATACATACATACATATATATATATATGTATAGCATATAAACCTCATTCGCTCACTCACTCACTCACTCTATCTCTTTTTCTCTTTCTTTTATACACGTACACTTTGCATACGAGCGAGCAAGACACGAGTACACACGTTAAGCACACATACCTGTACGCAACATTCTTCTCTCTTTCTTTCTCCTTTTTTTTTCTTTCACCTATTTTAACCGCTTACAATTTTTATTGAAGTACGTTTATTATGGCACAAAACGAGGAATAGGTATGTACGGAAATGCCTGGTTATTATCGGATAAGAGAATTCTTTTCGCTTTCCCTTTCTTTCTTTCTCTATACTCCGCTTCCTCTCTTTCATTTTGATCATCGTCTCTCACGCACGCACACGCATATCTTTCCCGCGCTCACATTCTCGCTGGTGAATTCTTATTTAATAATCCTTTCTTTCTCTTTTTTTTTTTTTTTCTTTATTATTTCATAAAACTCTTTCTTTTTTTTTAAATTTTCTTTCCTTTCTTTAATTTGTCTTTTTTTCTTCTTCTTCTTCTTCTTCTTCAGTGAAATGCCCGCAAAATTAGAATCACACGTAGAGGGGAAGCACACAAGGATCTACATTTCGTCTTTCTTCCTTTTTTCCATTTTTTTTTTTTTTTTTTTTTGGCACAACCAACGACATTTTGGTACTGTATGTATATGTATATACATATATATATATATATTATTTATATATATATATGTGTATATATATATATATATAATATAGATATAATAATTTTGCACTTTGCGTGCCGGAACAATTATTTTACAATTACAAACGTATCTAAAAAACGTATCTAAATTCGCGGATCGAATGTAAAATACAAACGATGCGCATTGTTTTTAATAATAATAATAATAGTAATAATAGTAATAGTAATACAATATTAATATAATAATAATAATAATAATAATAATAATAATAATAATAATAATAATAAAAAGAAAAGAGAAACGCGTTTCGTCGTTTAAAAACAAATTTACAAAGATTTACTTCATCACTTCGTCGTCGCCTTAAAAAATCGTCATATTATATTCGTATTTTATTGATAAATGCCCATTGTGTTAGATTTAGTTACGCGATTTATTTTATTCTTTCTCTTTATCGCTTCTTATTCAGACAAACGAGAAAAAAAAAAAAAAAAAAAAAAAAAGAAAAAAAGGAAAAAAACAAAAACGAAAATTGGAAAATTGTTTCATCTTTTTTATTCATCATTAATCTCTCTTATCCTTTATATCACGCCTGTATTTAAACGCATTTATTTATTTAATTATCATTTCGCTGAAACACATTCGCAATACGAATACGAGGACATGATATGACATCGGAAATATGTATAGTAATAACTCGATCATTCACGATCTAATAATTTCACCAACGCGTTCTCATCGTATCCATCTTTCTCGACTTCATTCCTCCCTTCCCATTCCTTCTCCCTTTCCTTTCAACTTTATATTTATAATAAAACTGAGTGTACAGTAATACTGTTTGATATGTCTCTAAAAACGTACATCGATCTCTACTAAATCTTCCCCTTCGTAATCGTCTCCCATTTTTTTTGCCCCTATCTCTCTTCTCTCTCCCCTTCATCTCGTTTATATTAGAATCTATATGTATAATGCTCTATTAACACGCTCATACGACCGGCGGGCGACTCGAGGAACTTTGCGGCAAAAGCAAAGAAGAAAGAGAGATTTTTTTGCAATTTGTTATACATCGTTGTCGATATTATTACTGGCCAATTAGAGAAAAGGGACGAAAAAAAATATATATATATATATATATATATATATATATATATACATATTGTAATAAATCACGAATAGAAGAATTTTCTATTATCGACGTTTTAATTTAATATCGTGGAAATTATTTATTTTTCAGATTCAACGTGAAAAACGTAGGAGAAAGTTAAAAAGTAGTACGTCGTTCCGCCCGCACGGATGGCGCGTTCAGCTACATTTCATTTCTTTAATAACATTATTATTATTGCATTGGCTCTTTCATCTTTTCTTTCTTTCTTTCTTTCATTCATCGTTAAATTCCTGAACTCTGAGGTAGTCTGTTCTGGGTGTCATATTACGTAGTAAAAATGGCAAGAGTGCTATATAATTTATCGTCTTTTTTTTTTTCTCTCGCTTCCACTTTATTATTTCTTCGTCAATTTTTTTTTCTTTTTCTTTTCTTTTTCATTAAATACGAAATACCTACAAAACGAAAATTGGCGAAAGGACGTTATACGTGTATATTTATGATACGTATTCTGTGTTCACGTGTGCGTGTATTATTATGTACGTGTAAGTGACAGTGATCGAGTCTCCGAGCGAGCAAAATTTAATTTCTACACGGAATAAATCGTATACTGCGCGAAACAATCTACGCGAGAATACTCGAATTCTGACGAATTAAAGTAACAACAATAAAAATAATACTGTGTACTTAAACGCTACGAAATTCTCAAATATTTAACTGATATATCAAAATATCGATTTCTCTATTCGATCCTTTTAATTGAATAATATAACGTACGTAATTATCGGATCTGATCCTATATACGTATAACGATAGATCAGTTTACCAAGGGGTGGAAGAAACAAATTATCACCGAACAAAATTATTCTATCAACGATCTAGAGAAACGCGAGAGAAAAAGGAAATAGAAAATGTAATAATATCGTTCTCGTAACAATAACAATCGGGAACAGGAGAACGAAATTTAAATATGTAACGGTATACGATCAACTATTAGAGTTGCCTAAGATCGGATCCGGCGATCGATTAAGCGATGATCAACAGAAATAATTACGCGTAAACACGACGTAAATTTCGTTACGGCGAGGTCGTCATTTATATATATATATATGTATATATATGTATATACATATATATATATATATACACACGTAACGTAAATATGTATGATTTGTGTGGCGTGTACGTGTAAGTGTAACGAGCTGTGCGTAGCTCGAAGGGAAATTCGCTCGTGTCGCGAGAGAGGAGAGACTCGATCCTATCCTCGGTGATTGGCTCGTTTTGCGCTTCACGAGCAATTAATCGAGCATTAATTGATCGTATGCGACGGGTACCGCGCAATTAGAGGCGGCACGGTCCACAAAATTTTGCCACGATTTAATAATCGAAGAAATACGAAATACCGTGGTCGAGTCATTCGTAGAAATCTTGTTATGATGCTATGAAATTTTTCGAAATAAAAAAAAAAAAAAAAAAAAAAAA